CCCCCCCCCCCCTTATCTTAAGGTCTGGATCGCCACTGCATCCAGCCATAGCCTCCCCGACCCCACTCTAGCTTGCAATTCTATTCTATATTATTTACGACGTTTTGAAGCTTAAAAATCGAATAAATCAAAAAATATTTTGATGAGCACTACTATGTGTCTTATTTTGAAACGCTCTTTTTTAGTCCGGATATGTCAGCCCCCCATTTTTCCCCCATTTAAAGCCCTCCTAAAGCCCCTTACGAAGTTGTATAAGCCCAGCCAGGGCTTTATAAGCGGAAGTTTACGGTATACAACGCTACCATATTATAGAGCATTAGCATCCAATCAGATGAGAGGGATTAGAAAGGGACAAAAGACTCTAATTCAATGAAAAACAGGAAATGAAAACTGAAAAACCTACCCTGGGTGTCTGAGGTTTTTTGTCGCGTGCGGGGTAGCCCCAGTTAGTTTGTTGGGTAATTTCACAGAGTGCACGAGGAAAACACTCTCGCTTCGCGCGCGCCCTCGTAATTCTCCCTTTGCCCTAAAAAACAAACAAATACGGCGCCTGTCACGCAGCTTACTTGTGGCGGGATGGTTCGGTGTCGGCATCAGCGGCAAAGCACGGGTCACTATTTTAAAAACAAACATGACGAAAACCGGAAACTTTGCATAAAAAGTCTGCGTACACAAAAAGCCAAATCTCTCAGATAAATGTATACCGCAATGGAGCCAAGTACTTGGGCATCCATCCTCAAAGGGCCCCTAGCAGTCTGTTTGGGTAACGGTTACTTCACGGTAAATGTATTGGATTTTTTCATTTGTTTTGGCCTGCATAGCAAGCGCATAAGAAATATGGGTTTGCGAAATAAACGATTTTGTATACGCGCGCTAGAGAAGAACACGCGCGCCAGGAGAAAGGGTACAATGGTGAATGCGATGGGAGGGGGTGGTAAGGATCAATAACACACCTGAAGGAGATTAGCCTGCGAGCAAGCAACAGAGTCTTTGCTCACCGGCAGGAGCCCATAACCTCCTGTCACTGGTTATAAGGAGAACAATGTGGGTGTCGCTGCAGGTGTGGTAAAAGTCAGGGGAGGGCTTCGATTGCGTAAAAGTGCGACACGGTTTATTACAAATTGCGATAGGTATTATAAACTGCGATGACTATTGCAAACTGCGGCAGTACAGAGCCTGTAAGCAGGCTACCTGGTGTATTACACTGATTTACAGGTTCAATCTGTTCAATGTCAACTATTTTGGTGTTTGTAGGAAAAGCCTGCAAAGCTTTTTAGCTAGTTGCCGTTTTTAAACCTGAGGTTTACAAGCTGTGGACAGATCCAAGCCAATGCTGAGTTGTAGAGGCACAAGATAACGAACAGCGATAGGTGGAGTTGATGGTGTTTAATCGATATTGTCCAGAATTGTTTTCGCTTTCATTTTTACCAAGAGAACCATCGAAGTCGCAGCCGAATTCTGTTTTACTGTTGTAGCTGTTACTGGTCTAAGAGCTTAAGTTTCCCTGCTTTGTTGCTGCTGTGCAGTTTTCACAACTGATGTCCCTCACCTGATGTTTATGTACTCATAATGAAGACACTGATACGAAAATGTACCGAAAAAGTCGTGATTTTTCAACTTGTCGCGCGCGTAATCTGTTTTTTTAACGCCGTGGGTGGGAAAGTTGCAGGTTGCTCGGAAATGTGTAGAGTGGTCAGCCAAAGATTGCATCTGTAACAACGGCATTCTATACATTGTCCTATCGACTCCACTGCCAGAGCTGCTGGACTCAACACTCATACTGCTCCGGGAGTCAAAATTCAGAGGAAGATTTATTCCGAACCGTTGTCCTCTGAAAATGTCAGTGTTTTTTGACAGGAAAACGACTGAATCAGTGCCCATATAAATCCAGGTTCAGAATCCATGTCACAGAAAACAGAAAACTCTTGGTTCGCGGAGTCGTAAACGACGTGCTTTCAAATAAGATAAAACAGTGGCATGAATTTGCCAAATTTTAAATAAATAACTTTTTTCCATAATACTTACTTGGCTTATTTTTTTTTAGCGGCTTCTAACTTTTAACAAGGCCGCTCTAATCGTCAGCAACGCACCCAACTTACTGTAGCTCAGAGCCAGGTGACAGACTAAGGCCTCACCACCATGAAAATCATTAAGTTATCTTTCTGTTTCGTCCTGGGGGAAGGACTACCCATAGTCTCCCTCGCAGCCCTTTTTTGGATGTCACGCAACGCTCTACCCATAGACATAATAGGACAATTGCACGATGGCGATATTTAACTACAAATACCAGAATTCATTTCGGTTTTGCTTAGTTATTTAAATTTGTCAATCCCGCTGAGGATTAAAGAACAATAGCCTTAATTTGCACAAGAAAACAACAAACTCAAGGATTCTGGTAGTTGTAGTAAAATGACGTCATCGTGCAATTGTCCTATTGCGCTTTTGTTGCTTTGAAGGGTATGTCTGTTTCTTCATTTAACAAAAAGTTTGAATCTAAACGTTACTTTTCATTTATCAGCAGATATTTTCTTCAGCATTTTTCGCAAGGCTTTTTAAATCTTGAATAAGATATAAAGGGTATTTATCTTTTAGCACAAGTTTGTTTTGGGGAGGTAAAAACACGATTATGTAGTAAATGCATTCTTTTTTGTCCGGATTACGGACATGGTAAAACACTCTTAACTAACACTGCAATTAAACGACCCGTTCCCCACATTCGCCACCACTCGGATTTTGTTGTTGTTGCAATACCACTTTCTTTTTTACACGAAAATAACGAAGACTTAGCACTGCAGGACCTACGTAAATTAAGGCTCACAATTGTTGCTGTTTGTTCGTTTGTTTTTAACTTTAGGACTCCCAGTAGAGATATTAAAATATGACCTGGTTCGATGTGGATTTTATCGGTGGATTTTTTTGATGAAATCTTCTTTTGACTACAGTTTGAATATGTATTCCCAGTTTTTATTATTTGAGTTTTTCTTTAGACTTCTTTAGACTAAACGCAGGAAGATCAAGTGAAATTAGAACTCAAACTTTATTATTAAAACAAAATATATGCACGTTCATGTTTAATTTACGCAAACTCTCTCTCTCTCTTTTAATTTCTTTTTTCAAACATCTTTTAGAGGTGGACCAACTTTCCCCTAGTTTTAAAAACTGCAAGATTTTTAACTCTTAATGATAACGAACTCTGCCGTTTAAGAATAAAAGTCAATTATTGTATACTCTGTCTTGGTACGTTCTGTTCTGTATCTGTTACTTTAAACTCCTAACAGGTTGCGAGCAGCGGATCCTTTATCATTGGTCAGCGGTAGTGTGAACTTTAGGAAGGACTCTGCTACTGAGCGCTGGACATCGATGAGAAAGCTAGTTTGACGGTGAAGATAGTTTTGGCACCTAAAGAAGAAAAAATGACAATGACAAGGTATCAAAGGATTCTTCAATCCCGTGATCCCGACCAACAATTTCGTGCAATCCCGTAATCCCGAGAGATACTTCGGCATTCTAACTCGCACGCATACTTTCAATCCCCAGTCTTACCGGATTTTGCTTTAAAATCCCTATTCCCGAGCTTCAAACAAGAGAAATCCCGGATCCAGTTAAACCTGGGGACCCTCGTATTAGAAGAGATGTTTGTATAGTCAGTGACACAGGACGCTCGGAAAAATAATCCGAATACTCCCCAGCACGAGTCGACCTTATGACCTTCTGGTTTCTGGTCTACATGCTGCACCACTGAGCTACAATAGACTCGTGGGAACTAAAGCCACAAAACTAAGTTCACGTGACAAACATCTTGTCTACTGCTAGGACTAGAACGTCGATATTTACTGATGTAATTAACTATGAAAGCATGAAATCGGCAATAACTATTATTTAGGAGCCCACAGGTGCTGGCATGGCAGTCAATAAATTCCACGCGGATTTTGTTTTCATACGCGCGCTTCTGGAAATAAACTGAAGACCTAACCGTAGCATCAAAACCCTTTCACAACAGTTATGAAATATTTAGATTTTGCCAAGCCTACAAGCGGTGCTCCCTTTTGATCTGAACTATTAAATCCTTATCGCTGTGAACAGGTCAGTTAACAAGTGACTGCCCTCCATTTAGCGGCCAGTTACCACAGTCCCGGCGGAAAATAATTCTTTCGTTTCTTTAAACGATATGCTTCGATAAAGATGATCGAGAAGCGTACGTGAAAATCGCAGGTGCGTATATGCGTGTGCGTAAATCGCGTGGCAACATAATTATAACAACAGTGATACCTGCATCACGGATCACGTAATGATTACAGGCTGCGAGAGCGTTGAGGGCCTGGGAAGGATCAGCCCATTCCAGATGACCTGAAGCTGACCGAGAGGCTGAAACAAAAACATCAAAAACGTGACAGAGATGTTAGAATTGGCAGTATTGCTCCGAGCGCGTTCATGAAAATGCTGAAAGAAAAGGTATGAAAACAACAGAACTCACCGTTAGGGAATACTTTTACTCTGACTGGGGGATCAACGCTACAATTGAAGCACATCTAAGACCGAAAGTAATAAGTCTGCGTTAAAACAGTCGTGGTTATCAATCTCAAAAACACTGTTTATACTACGGTACTCGCCAATAACAACCACGCGGACAAGTTAGTTTTTGCGGACGAAAATTAAATAAATCTCTCAAAAATTATTGCTCTGCGTTCTGACAGTTCTAGAGAAAAAGGGCGAGACAAAATTATATCACACTTATGGATCTACATACGTTTCTGGGAAACTACAAACTGAAACTGCCCAACTGACCCTCCGTATCACTTACTTCTCACTTAGGGCAAAATGTTGGCTTAGGGGAGGGGTAGTAACCTGACATCAGGCCCAATTTTAGCGGTTCTCATACATTCTCTCTAACGGCTACCGCTAAAATTAGGGCTCTCTTTTCGTTTCGCCATGTCCGCCGGAATGTAATTTTCAAAGCGAAACGAAAATAGAGCCTGATCTCAGGTTAAGGGTAGGTGGGCAGTTTCCCAGATATGTATAATGATCCATACTGATCTACTCAGTTCGAATAAAACGGAAAGTTACACCTTGGACATTATTTCAAAGGGGGATAAACAAACTATAAAACTGCTACGTGTATGCCAGCATTTTCTTGAGCAACAATGCAAATCGTTATTAATTTTAAGATCTGATGCGCAGAATTTATTTGCGATTAAGGAGATCATAGCACATCTGAAGTGGAAAGCAAAAAATTCGACCTTTTGCACTTTGTCAATAGTAGTGCTAATGTTAATGCTTAAGTTTTTTTAAGATTACTGCTAACACTAACGCTAATACCAATCAATGGCAATTTCACTGTTCATCAAAACAGATGCCAATGTTAACCCTAAATATATCTTGATAATAAGCCATACCTCATTAACCTTTTCCGACGAGAAGTCAGTTGGTGCGTTGAAAAAGTGCAAAACCTTTGTGGGACAAAAAATGCCTACCACAATGTTAAGGTTCAAAAAAATGTTGCAATCAGGTGGATAGGTTAGCCTATAATCTATTGGCGTTGAAAACGTGGAAGGGGTAGGAAAAAAAAACCAACAAAAACATCCCTCCGAGCCCCACCACCCAAGTCCCCCTAATCCATCTTAAAAAAGGACAAAACAAAGGCGAAGGAAAAAAAACAGAGTGGAGTAGGGAATGTTTGATCATTATACGCTTCTGGGAAACTTCCCACCTACCCCTCCCCTAAGCCAACATTTTTCCCCAAGTGACAAGCAAGTGTTAGTGTTGGCTTAAGGGAGGGGTAGGGGGGCAGTTTTCCAGAAATGTATAATAATCCGGAATGTTTGCTGGAGGTTTTTGTCTTGACTCTCGGAATTGCAGCTACTGTTTCCAAAACCAGTCACAAAGTTGTTCACCAAATTTAAGACAACGCGACATTATGGATACGATTCTTGCTGCTTTGCTGTGGCGTCCAGAATCGGTGATTCCTTGATTCCATGAACGATTTGTAGCACGGTGTCCCATCGGGCAAATTTGAGACCGATGATGGGTCTACGAGGTACTTCTGTTTGGAAAAACTACAAAAATGCAAAGTAAAAGTAGCTGAGTAGTTGATTGCAGTATCACGAACATGAAAGAAAACAACTTTCTTTTCTTGCATCGTACAAATGCAACTGTATCTATGCCTCAGTGCATTTTCCTTATGTTCAAACGAAGACTGAACCACAAGTATAGCAAAGGGCACAAAGAAAAAATTCTCGAGCAAAGCGCAAAGCTGACAGCAAAGCAAGAAACAGAGGCTTTTAAGAAAGTTTATTACAAATAAAACAAAAAAAACAACAACAACAACAACAACAGCAGTTGCAATTGGCATGCCCACCGAGGTTGAATAAACAGTGAGTGCTCTACTCTCCATTTCGAGGTCAGTGCTATATAAAAAGCAGTCAGCATATTCTTGAAGGCCTGTCATTTTGTGTGCATCACATACACCAAAAAAATACATTTGAATCTTGTATCACAGGCTTGTTATTTTTTTTTTGGTGTGTCACTGTGTCAATATAGAATGTTTCCACTGTCAAGAGGTCACTGCCTTAAATCATAAACTAGAATCCTTAGTAAAGGCACTGTATACCATATACCACAGGCTTACCATACCCTATTATGTCAATATAACTAGTCTGCTAATTACTGTAACACTTTACCTGAATTCAAGTTGTTTGCCAAAGAGAGTCTGTTTACCAAGGCACTGAATAACTGTGTTACATGCCACATGATCATCCATTTCTACCATGGCAGCACCAGGCTTGTTCAGCAGGAACTTTATCTGAGAGATCAACACTTATAAGTTAACTCAATATTAAATTTTTTACCTGGACCACTTAATAAGATCTAAAGACACTGTCTCA